CAAAGCATGTTCTGCTACGTGTTTACATAACAGGCCGTAAGATTAGTTAAGAGTTCTTGAGGAGAAGTGACCGATTCCTTGGAGACCGCGATTGACAACTGCAGGACTATTGTTGGCACATGGTCATGTGCTACAATAGCTCATCTGAATCCACGCCACACGTGCTCCATAGAATTAGACTGGAGGAAATAAATGGCTTCACCAATTACCGAAAATCCTCACTTTTCAAGAGTTTTCCACCCAGGCTGCTCGATACTCTCGCACACTGCCCTCCATACGATTGAAGCTGAGGGCAAGGGAACCCTTGGAAAGATGCACATGACAGAAGGGTACAACACCACAATCACGTTGATCAGAAAGTGTAACGCGATCATGAGTTGGGGATCAGTACGCCCCGACAACTTTATGCCTCCCCACATCATGTCGCATGCACTACCAAAACAATCATGTGTAAACGATGGTCCTGGGTAGATTACACGTTCCTATTTTCCCCATATGCAGGTAAGTCCAGAATCACTACTCACATTCAGTTTGCTCTTGACCGGGAAGAATACGCGATTTTTCAATTCGGTGGTCCATCTCCAATGTCTCGGCTCGTACCAAATGTCCCAGCCGAGGCGTGGATTTCAAATGAATAGGTATTGTTGCTAGGTTTTGCTACAGGCAAAAATGGACCCACGTCAGTCACATGCTGCAGTTGCAAAAACATTTATCAGGATTGTAAGGCATTATAATGTGTAATAACTTCGTTTCTTAAGTTTTCCACACCAGTGTAGTATTCATAAACTAGACTATGCTTCAGAACAAACCGTGATCTCCACAGCCATCACGAGCGTGGTTTGTCATACGATGTAGATTAGCTCGCCCCTCTTCGCTAAGTTCCACGTGCTCACCACTGCCAATCTGAAGAAGCTATTACTTGGGAAAGCGAGCTCAAACATTAGCAATGACAATAAAAGGTCAGATCTTGACGAATTGTTTGAAATCTCCATCAGTAATGATTTCCATAATAATAAACCTGGAAGCGCCAGAGCTAACTTAACAAATTTTCAAAGATAAAATGCAAGTTATTTCGACAGGGCGTGGTGCGTTGGAGGCAGTGGATATGATTCTCGGCTGTCGGTCGAAAGTGAAAGTGGAAGGGCTAAGCTGATTTGGCACTAAGGAGTAGCGACGCGAGGAGTATACCATAAAGAGGAAAAAACTGCACATCCAAGCAAACTGCACGCTTATTCGCAAGCGGAGTATGGCTTACAAGCTTAAGCTGAATGCCAGGGTAGGCGATTATGCAATCGCGACAGTGCGCCCAACGCAAACCGTACGGATCAACAAAGACACGCCCCACATTCGGCAATGTGCAGCAAACGGGCACAACGCTGTCGCGATTGCGCAGTCGCCGAGTCTGACATCCGAGCGATGCACTTTTGACACCTTGGAGGACTATTGTTTTTCTCCAATGCCTTTTGCAGCACAAGCAGTACTATCTGCCTGCTTTGTCAGCTAGTATCCCTCCGGACCCTACTTACTTATTCTAGCTTTGTAGAAATATCGCACTCACAGCTTTTGAGAATATCAATATCATACAAAAAACTACAGAAAACTAGTTATCAGCAGCTCCATGAAATCCCTTTCTAATTTATCTGAGCAACTCAGAAGAAAAAATTTTTGTTGCTTTCCCCCTAAGGTCGCTGTCCACGTTAGACATTACGACAACTATGCATGTCACACACTACATTCTTTTTTGTGCATGCCCGACTTCTTTCCAAGTTTTCTATGTTCATTCTGTAGGCCATACCTAAACATAATTATAAACGGAGTGGCTCACAGATGGTCAAATATGCTTTATTTTGCCAAGGTTTTCCAAGAGTTACGAATTTGCCAGTTTTGTCATTTTAATTTTCATTAACATAAAATTAAGATGAAAAAGAGCCATAGAAGTAAACACAAATCTAATCAAATGGTAGAACATGAGTTTCTACTGACACAACCACGTCCAGAATAACTTTGAAAAATTTGCTTTTCCGGTGCCATAAGGCGCTATTCTTGTCAAACTCCTACTACCACAACTCTCGGATTGGAAATTTTATCGCATCCAAGTTTTGCGTATTTGAAGCTCGAAATCCAGATATGAGGTGAAGTGATCGCGCTCGCAAAAGCGTGCCGGCCAAAACGCGTGATGTTCTAGGAGGAATACTATGTTTCCCAATCAAACATTTTCTTTTACTTAAATGACAACATACATTTCGAAATACAGGAACAAATAGTTTGATGCCGGCATCGAAAATGCACTTGTTTCTAATCAACCAGTAGCAAAAAATAACTCTGAGGAACGTGAAGATGTGAAGTACGCAACTGCTAGCCAATTTCACAGAATTGAACCAAACAGAAGCTCATAGAAGGGAGTCTTCTTCGGGGAATACAGCGTTTCAAGCTTCGAGACTCGATGCAATACGAGCTACCGCAAAAATAGCCCACGGAATTCAGAAAGCATGAGCGCTTCTCGACGGAAATCAGCAAACCCGCGTAGCAAAGTGGACCCTGATGATAATTTGAATCTAGGAAGTATTCGTTTGCATACTGCTTTCATCAACGGCAATCGGACTCTGCAGCTGTAGAATAGGGATGACCCCTTGTACGAGGCTCCAAAAAACGCACATGGATTCGAAACACCGTGAATTTCGTCGTGAGCTCCGAGTAATTTGAAACACGAGATCTGAAGGAGGAACTCACATTTTCAGCAGTATACCATCCATCTCCACTAAGTAAGCCATCATCACCTTCTGCTACTACCATTTCCCCATCGTCTTCGTCTGAAAGGATCGAGGATATGCAGAGCTGTCTTCCATTTTTGTGCAACAACTAACCTGAGAAGTCGTCATTTTCGTCAGGATTCAGTTCCTGACAATTACACATTTCGGTATAAATTTGCTGTACTGAAAAAGTGCACAAATACAAAAGAAACGACAAAGAGGAAAAGAAGTAAAACCTAATCTATCACTACGACAAGAACGGTTCACCACTTCATAGATTTCAAATATACTCACATACACTAAGGTCAGAGGGAACAAATCGTATAACAACATTCTTTCCTTCTTCTTCATCATCTTCGGATGCATTGTCATCGTCATTTAACTCTTCATCAGCAAGTTTGAGGTCTAAACGTACTAATTAACTCAGAATCAGAAGGTTATCCTCAGATTTCGGAGATATTCTGACATTATGACTTCATAGTACCTTGGGCATTATGAGAATCAGCAGCAGTAAAAAACGGAATAGCTGGCCTTCTACGTCGCTCTGAAAACAGCTAGTTCGCACTCCTTCAAAGCGACGCAGAAGAGGAACAAAGAAGTAATCGCAAGAAACACGATGGTAAAAAGGATGTACCGCTTTTCGATGCATCAACAAGAACGTATATACACTCGTGTGGGAACGTGCTGAGATCAGTGGACACGGCATGAAGAATAATTGATGGATAGGTTAAAGAGAATCCTAGACCGGAAGAGCGACAAATCCACGTCACTTGGCTGCAAAACAATTCGCATGTCATTCTCCAAGTACAATTAGAATCTTCAAAAATAAAGAAAGGGTGAACATGGAGTTGGAGGGGAGGGGTACTCTGTTTTGCGCTGCATCTCCGACGCTAAGTACGTAGAATTGAAAGCGTTACTAATCGACTTATCTGGAATATCGTTTTCCATGTTTAGGATAAGGAAGTTTTACGTAGCTTCAGTAAGCGAGGAGAGGGGACGAAAGGGAGCTCAAGGGGCAGATCACTGAGCATATGCAAGAAATAGACAAGATTGAGGTAAAACGTGGTGGCTGTTGGACTCTCGGCTTAGGAAATAAACTGCAGATGAGTGAATAGCGCGTTATTAACGTTGCCGTAATCAGCTTTAGAGACGCAAAACCTGAGTGGCCCCGTCCAACCGCATTTTCGTCCATTTTGAAGAAGAGTAACTATGCCCTACCTTTCAGCCACACATAACCTCCCCTCACCAGCACACTCTCCGTCCAGGTAGGCAACAACTTGCGGCTGTGACAGTCGCACGCCTTCCGATGGTTCATTTGTCTCAGATAGAATAATCATCCTAAACTGTTGAACATAGGGCAGGCTCATTCAGAAAGGTACGAAACAGACCACGCAAGAAGCACTATTCGTGGAAGGTTGGATTAAAACCGAAGAGCAATAGATGGGCACACAATGCTACCAAGGAATTAAAAAAACGCAAAATAGCAATTTTTATTGTGATATACTTACTTTCTGACACTGCAACATACCAAGAAAACAGAAATCAACAAAAGCTAGATACATGCGGACATATCGAGCGTTATCAAAAAGAGAACGCAACCCAAAAAAATGGAGCAATAATTACAATTTTGCAAGGACTTCGGAAAGCTTGCAATTTGGTATGGTTTTCTCAAGTTTCGAACGGGCCTCCGACAAGGTCAATGCGCTATAATAGTCTACTCTCTCACCCAGGCTTTCAAGGGCGTAAGTGACTTCATCCAACGCATCTTTACCTTCACTACTGCTATACTGTGATACAACAAGTTCAACGAGTAAACTAATAACATTTTCAGACAACTTGGGTAGGGAATTGAGATTAGGTAGAAGCAAATGTGCAACCGAGTAATTTCCGCTGACTGCCTCTCGTTGAAATACCTGAAGTAGCAGTGGCGAGCACTTTTCCATCAGAGGAGATGGTAACATCTCAGCACCTCCAATGGACAGAAAACACGAAACGAAACGGTATAAGATGAGCTCTACCTGGAATTCATATCAAGTATTTGACAGCTGCTGATGCGTTGTAGGAATACAAACAAGCTTTACTAAAGGGATAACATAGCAACATCTGAAGCCACCCACACTTTCGTTCAGATGTTCTTCCTGCTCTTTCGCCTCTACCCAGTACTCGATAGAATAGAATGCCGCTTCGCGTACTGTAGCTGCCAGGCGAGTAGCCATAGAATCATCCAGAAGAGACGACTCCTCGACGCATTCAATGGCCATCTGGAAGGAAGGCAATCTGTGAGAATGGAGTATAAATAGAGAAAACATTAAGGAAGATTTTGCAAAGAAGTGTCGCTGTTAAGATTGAAGCATCTGAATTCCGCATTCTTCCGATCGATTCGGATTTTGTTTTTGCCAAGCATTTTAGGGAAGAGGAGAGGGTGGGGGCATATGCTAAAGAAACCTCTGCATGCATTCTTCGAGTATTCAGCTAAAATCTTGACGAGAGAGAGCCGCAGCCGTCATGTTTCACCCGCAAAGGTTGAGGGTAATGTTCGAAAGGTTATTGATTCAGGCGGTGACTTACTTGGTTACAAGGCTTCTGTCAACCAGGGGGTGTAGAAGGGAAAGCAGACGTTCTTTGTGGTAGTGGGACCAAGCCATTTGAAGTAGGGAAAGAGCCTGTGTGAGAGCTCCCAGACAGCAAAACAAAGCTGAATTTTAGCCTCCGGAGACCGACTTACTTGATAGTATTCTGTTCATTCGTGCAGCAAAATGTTAAACCATTCAAATTTGCAATCGATTTCCAGAAAATTGCAATACTTAGGAACGGTCCGCCATGGACAACTATAGACGATAGCACTGAGGTATATTGCTCGTAACACAGTAGAAAATACTGGACATATTACAAAATAAAAGAGGTATTGAAGGAATGAGAAAGCAAATCACAGGCCCAATAAACTGAATTTTTGTGGATGAAGAAGACATTATTAAAGGCAAGGAATCAGGAATTAAATTGATGGGGTGATTCCACTCAAATGTGAAAGTAGGGATGGGAGGTGGACCGCCAGTGGAGAAAAAAGGAAAGAAAATCCTGAAATACACAGGAAATACGAGCATTTTGCTCTATGCTGTGGAGAAGTTCAAAAGACAGGCAGGGAGATGAGAGATAATGTGAGCGCGGAGAGTGGTAGAGAAGTCCGAGAAGAGAGCATAGCAGATCAACGTGGCGACGCAGACAAGATATCGAACGGTGGGCGGACCATGTTAAGTTTGGTGGAGTCTGTTAGAAGTCCATGGCGCCTAGGGTCCTAGTGACGCGTTTCGATGTAGAAAGGTGGCGCTACCTTTGCACTTGCGTACCCAGCACTTCTAGCCATGGTAAGGGCTTCTTAGGTGGGTCTGAGCCCGAACTTTGCTTTAAAGGCACATACCCACAAAATAGCTACATGTCAGATTGCATAAAATACAGCTGTGCTGTAAAAACTTTCACTTGATTTGATTTGGACTCACCTCGAGGATATGATAACAAACAGCTAGGCTTTGCGAATTGATAGTATCCGGCTTGTCGAGGCACATTCGGACTTGTACAACCACGATATGTACTAATAATAACAACAGTGATAAGTCTGGAGCAAACCACTTTCCTCCTAAGGCCTTAAAAAGAAACAATATTAAATGTGGCGAAGCAAGGGAAACGGAAACAACTAGCCTCCATCACTTCTTCTACCAATTGCAATATTCGGAACCTTGTATCTTCCGTTATCATTTCTGTTCTTGTCTTCAATACCCTCTCCACAAGCGTTCGTGTATTAGTCGGCCAGCAGTGATGACTACATACAAGCTCTGAAAATACAGACCCTTCCACTGGAATCTTGTCCTCTATGGTAGAAATGCAAAATAGTTGTTCCTGTCAATGTTGAAGAAAAAACAAGTGTTTGAACTTGAAAAGTTCAAGGTCAGTCATCGACTAAGCGGAAATTGACATGGAGCCTTTCTCACACAATGGTAAGGCTGGTGTCAGAGTACGCGATCCGTCGCAGGTTTCGCTGATTTTCGCGATTTCGCGATTTGCGCGAAACCTGCGATGGATCACAGGAGTTGGAAGTGCCCGATGAATACTGCGAGGTGCCGTTAATCCTGTTGCGAATTCTGCTTGACAGTGAAGATTGAAAGACGACTGTTCGTGATTCTACCCTATAACGTGAACAAGTGGGATGAGGGGGTTGATGGGGGCACTTTCAATTCCTGTGATCCGTCGCAAGCTTCGCGCGGATCGCAAAAATTGCAAGTGCCCCATTTGAACATTTGAAACACTGAATATGAAACAAGTGGAATCAGTAGCATCACATTCAGCCATCACTATCAAGCAGAAGTGGCGGCGGGATTGGAGAACACCTTGCAGTATTGATCGGGCACTTGTGATTTCCGTGACCCGTCGCGTGAATCGCGCAAATCGCGCAAATCGCACAAATCGCGAAAATCGCGCAAATCGCGAAATCAGCGAAACCTGCGACGGATCGCGGACTCTGACACCAGCCTAAGGCACCGTTCATCACTACTAAGCTGCCGCAAATCAAAGGGCAGCGAGCTTCGCAAGCTTCGCACGGAAACCCTACTTCTTCAACATTATGACACACTTGATTGTATTTCAATTCCCAAAACCTGTATACGAATGCAGGAAGAGGCTCGTAAGCGAACATTACTTGTACGAAGTAAGTAGCGATACGATGTTTGAACAGAGTATGACAATTTTTAGCTAGCAGTGATTCCAACATCATGTTCCCCATCTTCATTGAACAACAGCTGTAAGTAAAGATGAAAGAAATACATACAAACCGTAATTTTCGGAGGAAGATCGCAAATTAGCTATACATTCCGTGAGACGATGCAGTATGCATGTGAATGGAAAATCCTGGGAATTGTTGACACAGTACGACGAGAGCACATCAGCAGTATCGTGTAGGTACTTCTCCTGGTTGTGACTACCCAGCTGAAACAACACATAGCACAAAAACGTATTGTTTCTCGTTTTAACGCCTTCGAAGGCAAATGGACAAAGGCCGCACACACACCTTATATAAGGAGAGAATACATCCTGATATTTCATTGAGAGAATCCATGCCTTCCGAAGTTCTGAGGCGGTGAAGGAGCAGAGGAGCGAGAGAATAATGCTTTTCGAGAGTATCATTACTACACGATGGCAATAGTGTTCCCAGAATATCTATAGCGACATCTTGAAATCTAAAAATAGATAGAAAGGACGGTAGAAATGAAATCAGGATATCTCAATGTAATACTCACTCGGCCAACGAGCCCCCACTATCTGACAGTATTTTCTCCAAAAGCTCTCTAGGAATCAAATTCAACATCATATCAGCTTGAACAGATGTCATTGGCTCACCCTGAAAGATGAATGAATACTTTTAGAAATATATACCTGCAGTAGTATTAGAATCGGTTGGTAGACTAAGTAGAGAAAGGAAATTCACAACCCAATGATTGCCAGAAATGCGCGGGAAATAGGAACTCCAAAAGAATTAAAGCAAACTTCGATTATCATTGAACTAACCGTTGAAAAAAACATATATGGTCGGGCAAAAGGTCCCTCTAGGCACATAACCAAGTGATCTATACAGCGACAAGGGAACCATATCAACCGGAGGACTAGTCTTAGATATTTGGCTTGTATTGTCTAGATAGACCACATCTTCGACAAGAATCTATATCACTTACAATTGCTAGATGGCATGAGCACTAGCCTTGTTCGCAAATGAAAACAAACTCTGCTGGTTGCTAACCTCTATTATAACAGGATTCAGCGATTTTTTTCCCTTAAAGACATATAGAAGTGGGGCAAAATGTCACGGATGTGGTTCACTAAGATGTCCTAGTGAACGCACCCTAAAGTCACTTTGCTCGTGGCGCACATTACCAAATTTTTTGCGGTGCAGGGGTAGCCACATGTGGGAATTTGCGGCAAAATATTCCTTAGGTGTCCTCCAATAGGGAGAATCAGGCCCTCCCCACTGCCCTGAATCGCCTTTAGAATATGACGTCATCTGCCATCACCGGCCGTCGAGCTCAAGGAGCCCCACGGTAATTGCTCCAGCCTAAGGCTGGTGTCAGAGTCCGCGATCCGTCGCAGGATGATTTCAGCGATTTTCGCGATTTGCGCGACGGGTCACGGAAATCACAAGTGCCCCATCAATACTGCAAGGTGTTCTCCAATCCCGCCGCCACTTCTGCTTGATAGTGATGGCTGAATGACGACTGCCCTCATGATTCCACTTGTTTGATATTATAGAATCTAGAATTATAGGATAGAATAGGAACGAATCATGAGCATTTCAATGAACTGATAGACATTGAACATGAAACAAGTAGAATCACGAACAGTCGTCTTTCAATCTTTACTGTCAAGCAGAAATTCGCAGCAGGATTAAACAACACCTCGCAGTATTCATCGGGCACTTCCAACTCCTGTGATCCATCGCAGGTTTCGCGAAAATCGCGCTTTGCGCGAAACCTGCGACGGATCGCGAACTCTGACACCAGCCTAAAGCTGCTCATAATTTATTTAATAGTTATGTGATGGGTAGCTTCCTATATAAAAAAGCTCTGACTACAGGACCCCTTCGGACCACGGTCTCAGATAGAGTCGTAATAGCAAGCGGTGCTATACAAGTAGGGTGGGCACGCCGCATTTTTTGAACAGAAATGTATGTAAGTGGGACTGCTGCCCGCTACTATACTGTCACGAGAATCGGGGAATTCGTGAGCCAGGGGGAGTGTAGCCAATCTAGGGGGGTGGGGGTGAGGGCAGTCACTTGACATGCGTGAAAAGCTGGGTGTGCCCACCCCACTTGTATAGCACCTAGCAAGTGATCGGTTGAGAACCTCGTTGACTTCGAACCGTGCGCATGCTCCCGTGGGAAGAACCTCTGATGACGTCTCGGTGGAAGGCCATAATGAAACTACTTTATAAAGTTGGATGGCTCTTCAATTTCCTGTTGAGACTATTCGGTTTGATTTGACAAAAGTAATTCACTCGTTTCTACTATGAAGGGGCGCCCTTCCTGCACTCCCCCCTCCCCTCCCGAAAGACTGAAGGACTGTAAGAATAGCTGACAATTCAAACTGACCTTGAAGCGATCTGATAAAGCCGAAAGCTTAGCCAAAACATCAGCCATTGCACCACCGAGACGATTCAGATATTGGACTCAAACTTCTTTTCGTACAGAAAAAATTTTGGTCGCACTGTGTCGTTGCAGACATAAGGAAGTACCGTACTCATACGCCTGATTTCATCTCGCCTATCCGCGTTTCCGGCCCTCGCCGTAGGTATACAGGAGAGGTTGCGAAGTAAAGTATCATGTGTGTGGACTATGTGAAGGACATCACGCTCACGTAGGTTCTCAATGCAGGACGTAGCCGACTGGGTCTGGTTTCCAAGCGGGGGGGGGGTCTGCCCATGCAGTATTGACGAAAGAGAACATGGTAAATAAAAACGCCAAGGCCTGTCACCGCTTCCAAATATCAGATAAAAAAACTATGTCAAGATGTATGACAGTAGCAATACGGCAACATCCTCTACTTTGTTGTATTCCACTTCAAACCTCGCTATTAGTTGATCTAGCTTTTGTTATTACTGCATTATCAAAAGATGTGGGGGTATCGCGATGGCAGGGCATTCAAATCGTGCTGGACATGTCCTTTTGAACTAAGTTAAGCATGGGGATTGTGATAGAAGAAGGAGAGACTTCGGGGGCGGGGGGGGGGGCTGTGAACGATTTTCATTGCTCGCAATTTCTAGTCCTAGGGATGCCTTCGCATCTTGCTATAGTGCCGTCTTTGTACTCCAAAGGTCCTTCTCACTTAGGTTTAGCTAAAAACAAAGCCGGTAAGTAGTGAGTGTGAGAGCATGGTGTTAAAAGTCCTCCAGTTATGCACAACAAATTGCTGCTTAAAGCAACAGTCCCAGCAGGGTGGGCGTGGTCGGAAACGGCTGCAATCCCCTCGGCCGATTCCCACTTCGGAGCTGTTCAGCCCCTAGTCAAGAACGTAAGAAGTGTGACTGAACAAAAACTCACCTTGGAAAGCCGCTAGGGAGGGAGCTGAAGTGGGCGTGGTCGGAATCGGCCGAGGGGATTGCAGTCGTTTCCGACCACGCCCACCCTGCTGGGACTGTTGCTTTAGATATCATGTGGCCACTTCGATCTGGAGTCAAATGGGACTGGCTACGCAGTACAATGGGTTGAAGGACGCAGAGTGTACCTCCAGTGAGAAGTTACTGAAGAATGTGGTGCTGTTTTTCGTTACAGCAAATCTCAAAAACAACAGAGTTGACTTTACACGAGGAAAGATCATCGGGACACTGGAAAAGAAAGTATATATTGTGAGGGTAGCCGAGGAGTTTGGTTCTGCTTACAGCATTGCTTTACGTGCATGGGAGCAATAGGAACCACAGCCACTGGTGCCCGAGAACAGGAGGTAGTGGATCACGATTAGTCGCAATGGTAGGTGATCGCAGCATTCTGCAATAGGCTGCCAAAATATTAGGTTGAGCAACAATTATCCGCCGTTTTCATTTCACTCATAAGTTTATTTAAAACCAAACAAAAACAACAATAAATGCGTAACAAACGCTCTCGAACAGTCCTCTCTGCAACCGTGCCTTCATCCCAGGCTTCATTGATTCTACGAGCAGATGCAGAAGCATTCGGTTTCGAGCTCAACTTGCACTCATGTAGCAGGGCAATCTTTTTTGCTAGTGTGTAAGCTCCATAGTGAAGTAATAAACAATGTTCAAAATGTACAAGAGATTGAGCGCTTTCAGACCACATCATAAGCTTTGAAAATAATCAGCAAAAAATCAAAGACCCATGTGCCCGAAAAAAACGGCGGATAATTATCGCTCAACCCAATATTTCTCAGTATTTGAAAGCACAGCGACCGTATAGTGGTGTGTCTGTGCGACGAGTAGTACTTACCATTAGTGTTTTGTTGAAACCTATGCATCGACGAGCATCGCTAGGTGCCGAGAGGCTGGGAATGCCCAGCAATCATGAGCATTTTGTCGAACACGATCGTTTTGATAATCCAGGCTGGTGCGAAGGGGCAGAAAGCGAGGTGCTTTTGCCTCCATACTCGTGACGACGGTTCACATTTTCAGTGAACGTTATTGTGCTGCTGTAGTCCTTCGATCGTTACAGTATTCGTGCGGAGGACAATGTGCGGCGCATCGAATAGCCCAGATGGAAAGTTCTAGGATTGAGCAGGGTCAGCAGTGCGTTGCGCAAAATTTTTACGACACCTCTTTTTCTGTGAGACGTGCGTTTCTCCTCCTGGGGTCAGGTCACCACAGTTGCGCGATCATTGAAGCTTAAGGTTAAGTTTGGGTTAGACTTAGGTTAAGGCTTATGCTTACACATTGGCTTATGCCTAAGCCTATGATTGGGCCTAGGCTTAGTCCTAAGCTTGCTCCGAGCGAATGAATTTTAGGTGACCTGACCCCAGAAGGAGAAACGCCGCGCACCCCCTCCAAAGGCTGTCCCATGAGATGGGTTGCAAAATTTTAGGCAACAAGTTGCTTACTTCTGAAAAGATTTTACCTTATGTAGAAGTCTTCAAAATATCGTCCGCTTGTTCCGTTTTTTGTGCACGTTCACCACTCTTCATTTCCAATGCAGATTTTTTTTGCAGATTTTCAAAGCTAATTAAAAGAGAGATTAACGTTTTAAAAAATAGCGGACATTTTTCGAAACATCGCTTTCTCCGGAAAAGTCCCGCTGTTCCGTTTTTTAGGGAGTGGCCCAATTTTTAGAACGTGCGAGTTTTCGCCACGCAAACATTTATAACGCCCTTCACTACTAACTTTTCACGGACTTTCAAAGCTTATTAGAATCTAGAAGATAGGCTTTCGAAAAAAAGATCCTTTTTTTGCTCAGTGGTTTCTTAGACCGTTCTCTTTGTAACGCAACTTTTCCATCTTCAAATGGCCATAAGCGTTTTCAAAGTTGGTAAATATGTACACTGAGAAGCGCTAAAGACCACTAAAACTAGAAAAATTGCTTCTATATGTGAGATTAGTTCTATATGGGATGCTAGATTATCTTGAGAGGAAAACCTTTCTCCTGCTATGTGCTTCCATGTACTAGGAGCCTAGAGGTCACTCCAACGAATTCGCTGACCCTTCCCACTTCGTTTTGGTCTAAAAGCTAGGAAATTCCTTTAAAGGGTTTTTTGCTTGTTCTCACTGGAACATGAAGTATTTTAGCAGGAAATTTCGCATTGCAATGGGCCGGAATGCGTAATCGCAGTGTTAGTTGAAAGTCTGTCCTCCTTTTTCACCTAGCCACGCCTTGGTAACTTTTAATTTTGTGGATGGTACTTGAGGGTACGACCCCCTCCTCTTCCCATTGGCAAGTACGCCCCCCCCCCTCATTGCTCTTTACGCATCCTGCGGCTGACCCTGGGAACGAGAGGATATTCGGTGATTAGTTGAGCCTAGACCCTCCACCCTTCTCCCCTCCCCCACTTCATTCCTGTCGTGTGGAAGCAAATGCAGCACACCACGTGCGTGCCACATACACTGCTCATCATTTGTTTATGCAACCCCTGACTTTTCAGTTTTCTGGCTTGCGTGGAAATTCCATGAAATCGCTCAGCGCCATCGTTTCCAGCGTATCTGAAAATCAGAATGGTGCTGTTCGGTTTCAAGTAGCCCATGAGTTGGATGTGTTGCTTTTTTTCTATTGTAAAAGAAAATGTACCCCATCAAAACTTCATGCCATCCCGATGTTTGTTAGATATTTCACTTTTCTTTAGCACTTCTCAGCTACGATCCCATGTGATAGAAATAAGGGAATGCTACACCTGTACAGCGCATAAAATGGTGGACCATTTCTCACTAAGTAGTTCAGAACATAGCCCTCATCCTCGACCACCACCATTAAAACGTTTTATTAATGGAGACGTGTTCTGCCTCTTTCCATCGCTCTTGCTGTTTTGATGAAACTCATCTTAGAGCACATCCTAGGAAAATTGAGGAATTCGACGTGATCACGTCGCCTTCAAATTCACTTTTTTATACGAGGACACATTAACTTGGAATCTCGGCTCCCGCGAAGCTTGAAACTTACGCTCACAAAGTGTTTGTTCACGGAGGACATCGTTCATCGCCGTCCTGGAACAACTCGATAAGATTTCCTCGGAGAGAAAACCAATTGGCGAACAACGACGGCATGGACGACAGTACAGTCCATCGCGGCCGCCGCACTTGATAGAAGTTGCGCCGATAAGCTGCTTCCAGCATGCTTTGCTGATATCCAACGGAGTATGTTAGAAACAGCTTATCCACACGACTTCTATCAAGTGCGGCAACGGCCACGTCAAATCCATAGACACGCCTAATCAGACTCCGAGATATGGACTGTATCATATGTAGGACATCGAGGTGCTATCATGGACCATCGTTGCACAGACCTTTTAGAGAAAATCCGATCAGTTCAGCGATTGGTACCAGGCAGGTGGTTGGTATAAATAATATTTTCTATTAACAAAGGCCCTCGAGCCTCGCAGAAGCCGAATTCGCAGGTAAGTTGAACCACTTACCTAATGCGCAAAAGAGCACCGCGAATTCGCCAATTTTGCATGGGTACACTACTAATAGAAAAATCTATCAGATACTCAGGAGCGATGGCACACTGTACAACACAGCTCCCCTCTTCCTTCACCCCGATGAAACGTTTTCATAGTGGTGCCGCGCAGGAAGAGGGCTAATAATCTGGAGCACTTCTTAAGAAGTCGTCCAGAAGTGTAGGATTTTCTCATTTTTCGGTCCTAGTAATCGTTTTGCTTCAATAGCGTTTCCTGAAGCATGTCGTATTTGTGGCTCGGCCAGTCTGTGTCGAATGAACATTAATGATTCTGCTGGCTACGAAGTGGCATTGTTTTGATCTGCTTTGCTTCTGTCTCCACTGAAACGTGAATATTGCATGTGGCGTGCTATGCTAGGCTGTTCTTGAAGTGGCATTGTTTGTTTTAGACGATTCCTTAAAAATATGCTGCCACCAAATAATATTGGCCATATCTGGACGCTGTTGTTTGCTGAACATATATCACTGCTTACCGGTTTGTTCATTATTTGAAGTCAACGGGCGAAGAAAGGTGTCCCATCTCTCATGTTCTG